GGCCAAATCATTTTTAGCAAGGAGAAAAAGTGTTGTGCTTAGAAAAACATCCCTGAGGGACACCTCAGCTTGAGACGAAGTCCGTTTGGAAAGAACATTATTGACTCTACACGGAAATGTCTGTCAGTTAAAAGTTCTTAAGGAAGGATGGGAGATTGCCTCGGAGGCCTAAGGAATGGGCCTGGGCCAAAATATTATACCTCCAAGTTGTGTCATAGCCTTCTCAAGGTCAAAAATATGGGAATAACTGAGTGATTATTCGCAAAGGCATTTCAACATACGTTATCCAAGCGTAGTTAGGGGTCTATGGTAAAAACGAACCTTACGAAAGCCATTTTTGACTAGCGGAGAGACTGTTGTGTGTCTCTAAAAAACCACATAAAACGTCGATTTTACGAGACGTTCCATCACTTTGCAAACTGCATAGTAAGAGCATGGGGCGATAGTGGGAGGCATCAGTCCTGTAGTACCCGGTTTGCGGAAAGGGAGAACAATGGCAGATTTCCCCAGCTGGGGAAGAAACTCCTTGTGCCCAAATAAGATTGAAGAGGTGTAAGAGGACTACAAGGGCTGACCGATGTAAATGTGTAAAAATACGAATATGAATGTCGTCAGGCCCAGCTGCCGATGATCGGCAAGCTGAGGGGCGTTGCCTTCCAGTTCTTGAAGTGTAAAAGGCACATTATACTGTTCTTCTCTGAAGAGAAGAAAAGTCAAGTACTAAACTCTCTGGCAGACTTTGAGGAAAGAAACGAGGAGCATAAAATGGAGCCCCCGGGAAATACGGACCAGATGTGTGCCAAGTTCAATGGCAATGTCGAGAGGGGTTTTCTACATCAACACCAGCGACCCGTAGAACAGGAGCCGGGTCAGGAGAGTATTTACCCCTCAATTTCCTCACTTTTTTCCAGACTGCACTCATAGAAGAAGCCCGAGGTGATGGGGGAAACATAGTCTCGCCAGCAAGTGCGTTTAGCTTCACGGATGACACGGTGAGCGATCGCACGCTTCTGCTTAAAATCAAGTCTCTCAGCGGTTCTATTGTACCGGTACCTGCCCCATGCAGCGCGTTTCAAACGTACTGCACAAGCACAAGCAGGAGACCACCAAGGCACGCACTTCTGAGAATGCCTGCCTGAGGTTTGGGGTATAGAATGAGAAGCTGCGGTATAAACTGACGTCGAGAAGAGGTGTAGGAGCTCATCAATGGAGGATGAAAAAGGAACCTCACTAAAAGCAGTGAGTTGCGAATAAAGATCCTAATTTGCCCGATCAAATTGCCAGCGAGGGCTAGGGAAAGGTGGTGAATAGGAAGGAGAAGTAAGAATGATTGGAAAATGATCGCTGTCATGTAAATCCGGTAGAAACAGACCAGGTGAAGTCTAGTGCAGTGGAGGAAGAGCAGACTGATAGATCGATGCAAAAGAGAGTATGAGTACGGGATCAAAATGGGTGGGAGTACCCGTATTTAAAACATGGAGGGGGTGAGAGGCGAGAAAAGCCTCCAACTGGATGCCACGTGAGTCACAATGAGACCCCCCCCAGAGGAAATGGGGGGCGTTAAAATCACCAAGTAACAGAAGTGGTGGTGGTAGGATGAAAAAAAAAAGGTAAAGTCTGGGATAGAAAATGCTCGAGAAGGAGAGAGATATAAAGAACAATTGTAAACCACTTATTTAAGTGGATACGGGCTGCAGTGTAATGCAGCGAGGTATGGACAAATAGTTGACAGTACGGAATATCATTGCGTAGAAGAAGGGCACTTTCATTAAAGGTCCCATCTGAGAAAGGAAACCGAAGAATACAATTAAATTATAGCCTGAGATAGGTTGGAAAACAGCCCAGTGCCAATTTTGGTTCTTGTAAGCAAGCACCAACAGGGGAAAACCTGGAAAGCAACATCTGAAGCTTACCCCAATACCCCTGAGGCGCGGATATTCCACTGTAAATAGGCCATGATTGGCGATGAAGAAAATACCAGGAATCCATAGGGAAAGGCACCTACGGAGTAGAGGGGTTAGAAAAGTCAAGTGTGGTGATTGGAAACGTTCAAGCAGCAAAGGAACGGGGCGTTGCGAAGAATGGGGTTGTGAAGATGGAGGAGAGGGAAGAGAAGGAACAGGAAGTGAATCAGTGTCCATTGAAGGTTTAGTCTCTGCAATATATTCTGAAATGGCTTCAAGTGTTTCTGAATTCAAAGATGTATGGGAGACCATATTTGGGGATAGAAGGGGGAGGGTGAGTAAAGATTGGGACAGTAATGGACTGTACCAAAGTAGAGGGGGGGGAAAGAGTGTAAGGGATTGGAGATGAAGTGTGGGGGGGACAGAAAGAGGCAGAAACCTGGGAGGTGGCAGAAGAGGGAGAAACTTGGGAGGGGACGGGGTGGAAGGCAATAGTAGGAGGAGGAGGGTGAATCTCCACACTTGTAATAGAGCCAGAGAGAGGGGAAGAACTAGGCCCAGAGACTGGAAAGGTAAAGTGTGGAGTGGAAGAAGGGGCAAAGAAGATTTGAGCAATGTGGATTTTTTGGACTTCTGAGAAGTAGAGGGGCGAAATTTGGGATTAGGTGTCGTACGAGGTCTTGTCGATACTGGGGCTTGTGAGGAAGGGATGTGAGAACAGACTGAGTTGTAGTCGGGACGTCAGAGCCAAGGACAGTAAAAGGATTAGATGCCGGAGTGGCTAGGGAGGGGTAACAACAGAGGAGGCTGAGAAGATGGGACCCCGAAGTGGGGGGATGTTTTGAAACACGAGGGAATAAGAAACACGGGGTAGTCTCCTTGGAGGCGGAGATGAGTAACTGCCATAGCATAAGGGGGACCTTCTGCCTCTTTGAGGCAACGGATTTCCCCTTCATTTAAGTAGACCTGGCAACGGCGGGAGTACGAAGGGTGAGCTTCTTTACAATTAAGGCAAGATGGAGGTTGACTGCAAGATGTATTAGAATGGCGTCGGCACCACAGACTGGGCATTCGGCCATAGATCTGCAATATTTCGCTGGGTGACCAAAACGCCAGCAAAATTTTTACACTGTTGCGGTGTTTGGTATCACCTTTCGAACTTGTAACCAATGTCCCGCAACAATAACAGAGGACGGGGTTCTCGGCTGTCAAAAAATTAAACGACTACATTGCAAGGGGTAACATCTCCGCCCACGGGCAGGAAGGACATAAGTGTCTACTGTGAGGATTGGGAGATCCTGGAGTTCCAGCTGTTTTAAGAATGTCATTGCACATGACTGGGAAATTCTGTGGACTATGGTATGGGGCAGAATGACAGTACCACTACAAGAATTGAGAGAAAGATGTTTTTCAATAGTGATAGGAGTGTATCTATATGCGAAAGGAGAGAAAGATCATGAGCTTGGGTAGCATCTGGACAGTGACGATGCGCGTAAACCCCTCTTGAGAGCATGAAATTTAAATACTCTACCCAACATGACGCAGGAGCGCTTTGCCATACTATGGTCAGAAAGGTAGCAGAAGAAGAAGTCGGTCTTAAAGTAAAGAATTTAGTCCATTGTGTGGTCCGAAAAAATAGCGTGGAGAGGGAGTGCATGACGTGTCGGTCTTTTCCGAGTAGAATGGGAAGGTAACGAAGGAGCATCATCAGGAGATTGACGCTGGCGTTTAGGAGTAGGACTGGAGTTGGTCCGGCGTGAAATGGGCAGGCGATTCGAAAATTGCCGTACCGTAGAGGGAGAAGCCGGAAGGATAGTCAAAGGAGAGCGGAGTTCAGACAAATCGAAGGAGTCAGTCGAAGCCCCAGTACCTGAAGCGGGTGAGGAAACAGCACCAGCAAGAGGTACAGGGGCATCAGGAGTGTCCGAAGAGTGGTCTAAAAACAAGGCAGGGTCAGAATGGGGTGCGGTATCAAGAAGGGGCCCGGGGGTAGTGGGTTCATGGATTGGATTCTCCATGGTTAGGTTACTCCTTTGCTTTTTGTTTTTAAGAAAAAAAAAGAAAGAAGAAAAGAAAATAAAAATAAAAAAAAGAATAAAAAAAGGGGGGAGCGGGGAGGAATGAAAGGGCCGGAAATCTCCCTCCGCACCCAAGAGGACCTCAACACCGCTAGTAGCGCAGATGCAGCATGGAACCCGTGCCATACCCTACCCTTCATGCCAGTAAACCAGCAATCCGGGATAGCAACCTCACATCTGCCGAGCTACCTCGGTGGACAAAAGAGAGGGCGGCCGGATATCTGCCACAAAGCATACCTCCTTCGGCCACCACCCCCAGAATCCAAAAGGTGGCTTCCAGAGATACACCCGTCGCCCGAAAGACACCCAAAGCTACTCCGGGATACCGGAGAGGGATCGGGACATCCTTAGGCGATCCAGATTCCACGGCAAACTACGCCACCGCCAAGAACCTCAACGGAATGGGATGGACCCTGGTATCCTTTCCCTTACCTAGGAACTAGTGCGCCTGTGGGAGAAATCCCAAAGGCCAAAAAGAGGAAGGGCAAAAGGGAGGGGTGGGGAGGAGGAGGAGGAAAGGAAAAAGGGGAGGATGGGATAGGGGAGGGGAGATTGGGGGGTAATTAGGTTCGGTCTGAGGAAGGAGACCGACAGGTCTAATTCCTCAGACCAAGAGCCTCTTCACCACGCCAAGGAGCCCCCCTTGAAGAGGCCTGGGAGTAGAAAAACTGGTATAAGGTATGTCAGTTAAGGGCTCTTGATTCAAGGAATTAGAACTACCCTGCATTCCTCATTGCAAGGAGGCAAGGCAGCAGAACAGTCATGCCAGAGAGAATTGAACTTGGTTGCCTCCTTAGTCATGTATGATCCCTATGGGTTTAGCAATTTTCCCATGGGCTTCCACTATAATATTAAGATACCAGGTGAACTTTTTGTGGGTTTAGCACTGCCTGATGCCAGGGAGTGAAGGCTGAAAATTGAAGTCTTTATAAAAACAAATCATCATCCAGCTGTAGAAGACTGGTTTGTATTGTATACAGGCAAATGACCTGGAGAGACCAGGCATACTCAAGACAACTGATGTGCACAACTTTATTGAGGGTGTTGTAAATACTTCTCAGCATTCTTGTGTATACCCATAGGTATACATTAGCTTTTAATTTTAGGTAAATCACAGAAAATCTTTTGAATAATAAAAATTAGGGATTATTCTTGCCCAAGACTCTTGGTTTATGGGAGGGGGAGATGTTATGAGGGTAATACACTGTACTAGTTATGTATAATACACAGTAGTTAAAATTACTTGAGGCACTGTAGAAGCTGGACCCATTTTCTGTGATGGTTCAAGAAGAAACTGGATAGATTTTCTGTGATACAAGCCAACATAAAATAACTGACAGTAAAGCATTGCTCTCAGAAAACTGTTCTAATTATTTCCAAATTGCCTGGTTCATATATCTTAATCATAAGATTCACGTGATATATATTTATATAAAGTACACACGTAAAAGCCAAACTAGTACTACTACAAATAAAGTTTAAAAAACAATTACAAACATTGAAATTAAAGCAGCTGGCCTTGCTGATCACAATCTAAACCTGCCATGATTTGGTCATTATTCAAAGTAGCTCTGGTAGTTTGAGATGTGAACTAGGAATCAGTCCCTTCACTTTTCAAAAACCAGTCCCTCATTTCTTTGTATGGCAGTACATAGGTGTAAGAATTAGTGAAGACAATATTCAGCGACTATACACTAGTGATGGTAAAGAATTTCGTGAGCACAAGTGAAATCACATTACACAGTATAAATCCTCAAAGTCTAGGAAAACTTAATGAAATTATATTTGTGAATGGAATTAACTACATAGATAACAAAAGTGTTGAAAAAATTATTGAAAATACTGTAATTTACTCCAGGTGATTATAACAAATATCTTCGCATTCTTCTTGAATACAGTACTGAGTTTCTTTGTATAAAATGTAGAGTTCTTGAGACCATTCAAATACTGAATCTTGAAACATGAGATCTTGATACCATACCTTAAACCTAGTACTGCTGTTAAGCTTGAGTTTACTGCTGGTATGTGGGAAGGCCACAGACTGACACCCATGATCCCTTACAAGTACTGTGTAAAATCTACACATTATCATACTGCAACATGATGTGAAAATAAAATTTATGAAGTAAATACAGCATACTACTTCATTACATACAGAGAAAACATAATCAAGACTGTATTAACAAAATATATAGCCACACAAATATGGTTGTAAATATGCAAACTAATTCATCAATAATAAGGAAATAATTACTAGCTATTAGGATTCTGTTTGAAGCTTATGTTGTAGCCTCCAGAGCCTGGATCTTGCTTGAGTTCAAAGTTTCTTGTTGACAGTCCGAAGGGCCGAAGAAACATATTTCCCAAGTCCTTCAGTTTACCTGTGAAGGAACATATATAATGCAATGTACATAGGAAATTCCTAGGTAGTAGGTTGGTAGACAGCAACCGCCCAGGGAGGTACTACCGTCCTGCCAAGTGAGTGTAAAACGTACGCCTGTAATTGTTTTACACGATGGTAGGATTGCTGGTGTTTTTTTTCTGTCTCATAAACATGCAAGGTTTCAGGTACGTCTTGCTACTTCTGCTTACACTTAGGTCACACTACACATACATGTACAAGCATATGTATACACACCCCTCTGGGTTTTCTTCTATTTTCTTACTAGCTCTTGTTCTTGTTTATTTCCTCTTATCTCCATGGGGAAGTGGAACAGAATTCTTCCTCCGTAAGCTATGCGTGTTGTAAGAGGCGACTAAAATGCCAGGAGCAAGGGGCTAGTAACCCCTTCTCCTGTATATATTACTAAATATGAAGGGAGACACTTTTGTTTTTCCTTTTGGGCCACCCCGCCTCGGTGGGATACGGCTGGTGTGTTGAAAGAAGAAGAAGACATAGGAAATTGTCTATATTAATGATGCCTGATTACATGTAGAACCTCACAGACACAAAACAACCATTTGTTTAAAAATCTAGTTAAGCAAGAGGGACAGAGTAGTTAGAAAAACCAAAGAACAAGTACCATAGAAAGGCTGAGAATAAAACAATATGGAGGTATTGTAATTAGAAATACCATTTCTACTGAGTGGTACTGCAAATGCGAATATAGACAAAAAAAAAAAAGACCCAATAAAAGAAGGATGATTAACTTTATGACTCCATGGACTTTATGGACACCAACTTTTTCTAATAATTCAAATACAGTGGTACCCCGAGTTTCGGCCATAATTCATTCCAGAAGGCTGTTCGAGAGCCATTACCAAACAAACTTGTTCCCGTAAGGAATAATGTAAATTAGATTAGTCCGTTTCAGACCCCCCAAAAATACACTTACAATAATGGGGTGGGGCAGTGGCCTGGTAGCTAAAGCTCCAGCTTCACACATGGAAGGCCCGGGTTCGATTCTCAGCAGGTGGAAACATTTCGACTTGTTTCCTTACACCTGTTGTCCTGTTCACCAAGCAGCAAATAGGTACCTGGGTGTTAGTCGACTGGTGTGGGTCGCATCCTGGGGGACAAGATTGAGGACCCCCAATGGAAATAAGTTAGACAGTCCTCAAGGACACACTGACTTTCTTGGGTTATCCCGGGTGGCTAACCCTCCAGGGTTAAAAATCCGAATGAAATCTCATCTTAATACACTTACATAATTGTTTGAGTTGGGAGCTGTACGAAACTCGGGGTACCACTGTACTGTAATTAGAAAAACTGGATGATGCAGTTAAATCTACTGGAAATTACCACTTCCCTCCTACATACCCTAATTTGAGCTACACTCTCCTTATAATTTTTTTTTTACTCAACATCCATCTGCCAAAGCAGGGTGACCCAAAGAAAAACATTCACCATCATTTATTCAATTACCATCTTTCCATCACAATTAGATTGCCCTCCAACTTCAACATCCCCACCCAACCAGGGCAAAGGCACTGCCCCTCCCATCTCCAGGACTCAAGTTTGGCTAATCAGTTTCCTTGAATCCCTTCATAAAAGTTATTTTGTTCACACTCCAATAGCACATCTATTAAAAGCCATTTGTCTCCATTTACTCTTATCTAACACACACATAAGCCTTCTGGATGTTAAATCACTCCTAACAGGTACAGGTCTCCCTCAACATTCACGTTTTCAGCTTTCGCGGGCTTCACACATTCACGAATTCCCAACCGCCAAATTCCCAGCCACCAAATTCCCAGCCGCCAAATCATATTCAAGTTTCCCGCCACCTGCGAGTCCCTACTACCCTCCCTCCGACCCCCGCAACTGGCAGCCAGCCCTCCCACCACTCAGTGTGGTGAGTGTTTTGTTTGTTCATTATTTGCTATTAAACTACAGTATAAATAATGTAAACACATTCATGACTGCATATTGGAATGGCTATTTGGACAGGTATTGGACGGTGACATCATGTGTTTACTCTTGAACACAGCAAAGAATCGAACATTTCTGCTACTGCTAATAATAACAATAGTAATAATAATAATAATAATAATAATAATAATACGATATAATTGAAGAAGGAAATTGTACAAAAATACGAGGGAGTGGTTGACACATCGTCAGTGTGGCTTTGTTTATGCTGGAGTGAACATTAGTCTCCCTGCTCTTCCAAACATTTCACAATAATTCATTGTTTGGTGCTTGTAGATTGAGTGTGACTGGAGTGGTTGAGGCAGTGGTAGAGGTGATAGAGGCAGTGGTAGAGGCAGTGGTAGAGGCAGTGATAGAGGCAGTGGTAGAGGCAGCGATAGAGGCAGTGATAAAGGCAGTGATATTTACTAACATATATGTTATAAATAATAATAGTACATTATGAATAACATTTATTATTATTATTATTATTATTATTATTATTATAAATGTTATTAATATTAACATGTACTATTATTATTTATAACATACGTATATGTTAGTAAATACCACTGCCTCTCCCACTGCCTCTATCACTGTCTCTATCACTGCCTCTACCACTGCCTCAACCACTGAATTATTGTGAAATGTTTGGAAGAGCAGGGAGACTAATGTTCACTCCAGCATAAACAAAGTCACACTGACGATGTGTCAACCACTCCCTCGTATTTTTGTACAATTTCCTTCTTCAATTATATCGTATTATTGTTATTATTATTATTATTAATATTATTATTACTACTGTTATTATTAGCAGTAGCAGAAATGTTTGATTCTTTGCTGTGTTCAAGAGTAAACACATGATGTCACCGTCCAATACCTGTTCAAATAGCCATTCCAATATGCAGTCATGAATGTGTTTACATTATTTATACTGTAGTTTAATAGCAAATAATGAACAAACAAAACACTCACCACACTGAGTGGTGGGAGGGCTGGCTGCCAGTTGCGGGGGTCGGAGGGAGGGTAGTAGGGACTCGCATTGGTTGAGGCAGTGGTGGAGGCAGTGGTGGAGTCTGTGGTATTTAATAACATACATGTTATTAAAGCATAACATGTATATATTTAGTACAACTTACGACGTTTTCATGTATTTTATGATTGTTCATGGTTCAACAAGTTAAGCAGTATTGTATTATATTTCCCTACAATATATTGGGGCACCAAACATTCACGGTTTTTAAACATTCGCGAGGATCTTGATCCCCTAACCCTCGCGAATGTTGAGGGACACCTGTACTCTTCAAAGCTCTTAACAACGTACCACCAATTCCAAACATCTGCAGCACCTGCCACATCACTTCCCTATCTATTCCATCATATCCACAATCTAAGCATTGCCCAGTAATATACCTTAACACAAATACTTGATTTACATTCTATAATGGAGTCCAGAACCAAGGAACATAATCTAAATGCCCCTCAAGAGAGGTTCCTAGATGCTGGTGAGGGGCTCTTGATCTAGGGAATTGGATCTGTGCTCTGGTTCCCTTAACTGAGCCTGAGTACCTTCCATTCCCTCCACATGCTCTGTATAATCCTATGGGTTTAGCACTCCCCCATAATTATAATTATAATAATCTAAATGAGGCCTTTCCATACCAAAGCTGGAGCATAACCTTAGGACTTTTTTATTTCTTCTTTCAACAAACCAGCTGTATCCCACCGAGGCAGGGTTGCCCAAAGAGAAAAATGAAAATTTCATTTTATATCTAGTAATATATACAAAGATATATGCAAAGATGAGTAGTGGGGGGGTTGAAGAGGGTTGGAATAGTTTTAAAAATGCAGTATTAGAATGTGGGGCAGAAGTTTGTGGTTATAGGAGGGTGGGGGCAGGAGGAAAGAGGAGTGATTGGTGGAATGATGAAGTAAAGGGTGTGATAAAAGAGAAAAAGGTAGCTTACGAGAGGTTTTTACAAAGCAGAAGTGTTATAAGAAGAGCAGAGTATATGGAGAGTAAAAGAAAGGTGAAGAGAGTGGTGAGAGAGTGCAAAAGGAGAGCAGATGAAAGAGTGGGAGAGGCACTGTCAAGAAATTTTAATGAAAATAAGAAAAAATTTTGGAGAGAGTTAAACAAGTTAAGAAAGCCTAGGGAAAGTATGGATTTGTCAGTTAAAAACAGAGTAGGGGAGTTAGTAGATGGGGAGAGGGAGTATTAGGTAGATGGCGAGAATATTTTGAGGAACTTTTAAATGTTAAGGAAGAAAGGGAGGCGGTAATTTCATGCACTGGCCAGGGAGTATACCATCTTTTAGGAGTGAAGAAGAGCAGAATGTAAGGTGTGGTGGAGGTACATGAGGCATTACGTAGAATGAAAGGGGGTAAAGCAGCTGGAACTGATGGGATCATGACAGAAATGTTAAAAGCAGGGGGGGATATAGTGTTGGAGTGGTTGGTACTTTGTTTAATAAATGTATGAAAGAGGAGAAGGTACCTAGGGATTGGCAGAGAGCATGTATAGTCCCTTTATATAAAGGGAAAGGGGACAAAAGAGATTGTAAAAATTATAGAGGAATAAGTTTACTGAGTATACCAGGAAAAGTATACGGTAGGGTTATAATTGAAAGAATTAGAGGTAAGACAGAATGTAGGATTGCGGATGAGCAGGGAGGCTTCAGAGTGGGTAGGGGATGTGTAGATCAAGTGTTTACATTGAAGCATATATGTGAACAGTATTTAGATAAAGGTAGGGAAGTTTTTATTGCATTTATGGATTTAGAAAAGGCATATGATAGATTGGATAGAGGAGCAATGTGGCAGATGTTGCAAGTATATGGAATAGGTGGTAAGTTATTAAATGCTGTAAAGAGTTTTTATGAGGATAGTGAGGCTCAGGTTAGGGTGTGTAGAAGAGAGGGAGAATACTTCCAGGTAAAAGTAGGTCTTAGACAGGGACGTGTAATGTTACCATGGTTGTTTAATATATTTATAGATGGGGTTGTAAAAGAAGTAAATGCTAGGGTGTTCGGGAGAGGGGTGGGATTAAATTATGGGGAATCAAATTCAAAATGGGAATTGACACAGTTACTTTTTGCTGATGATACTGTGCTTATGGGAGATTCTAAAGAAAAATTGCAAAGGTTAGTGGATGAGTTTTGAGAATGTGTGTAAAGGTAGAAAGTTGAAAGTGAACATAGAAAAGAGTAAGGTGATGAGGGTATCAAATGATTTAGATAAAGAAAAATTGGATATCAAATTGGGGAGGAGGAGTATGGAAGAAGTGAATGTTTTCAGATACTTGGGAGTTGACGTGTCGGCGGATGGATTTATGAAGGATGAGGTTAATCATAGAATTGATGAGGGAAAAAAGTGAGTGGTGCGTTGAGGTATATGTGGAGTCAAAAAACGTTATCTATGGAGGCAAAGAAGGGAATGTATGAAAGCATAGTAGTACCAACACTCTTATATGGACGTGAAGTTTGGGTGGTAAATGCAGCAGCGAGGAGATGGTTGGAGGCAGTGGAGATGTCCTGTCTAAGGGCAATGTGTGGTGTAAATATTATGCAGAAAATTCGGAGTGTGGAAATTAGGAGAAGGTGTGGAGTTAATAAAAGCATTAGTCAGAGGGCAGAAGAGGGGTTGTTGAGGTGGTATGGTCATTTAGAGAGAATGGATCAAAGTGTAATGACATGGAAAGCATATAAATCTATAGGGGAAGGAAGGAGGGATAGGGGTCGTCCTCGAAAGGGTTGGAAAGAGGGGGTAAAGGAGGTTTTGTGGGCTAGGGGCTTGGACTTCCAGCAAGCGTGCATGAGCGTGTTAGATAGGAGTGAATGGAGGCGAATGATACTTGGGACCTGACGATCTGTTGGAGTGTGAGCAGGGTAATATTTAGTGAAGGGATTCAGGGAAACCGGTTATTTTCATATAGTCGGACTTGAGTCCTGGAAATGGGAAGTACAATGCCTGCACTTTAAAGGAGGGGTTTGGGATATTGGCAGTTTGGAGGGATATGTTGTGTATCTTTATATGTATATGCTTCTGAACTGTTGTATTCTGAGCACCTCTGCAAAAGCAGTGATAATGTGTGAGTGTGGTGAAAGTGTTGAATGATGATGAAAGTATTTTCTTTTTGGGGATTTTCTTTCTTTTTTGGGTCACCCTGCCTCGGTGGGAGACGGCCGACTTGTTGAAAAAAAAAAAAAAAAAAATACGCAGTACAGGAGAAGAGGTTAGTAGCCCCTTGCCCCCGGCATTTTAGTCGCCTCTTATGACACGCATGGCTTTTGGAGGAAGAATTCTGTTCCACTTCCCCATGGATAACTTCTATTATTTATACTTCTTAATATGAAGTCAAGAATTCTATTACCAGTAGGTAGTTTCTTTTCCCAAGATTAAATAAGAGGATATAATGCTGGCAACAGTTTATAAACTGGAATGCCAAGGTGGGAGAAGATTTTTATTTAAGATTACTCTGCATTTTAACTATAAGAAATTTCATGAATCACATATACAGTACTTTAAAATTACAAAAAACAATTGGAAAAATATTAAACTATAAATCTAGACAAATTTGAAAAATATGCTGTGACTTACCTATCATTTCTTCCTTTAGCTTTTCATTCCTCTCGTTGATCATGTCTGGTAACCTCTGAAAACAAAATCACTTAACTGTAACATACACTTTTATGAGTTATGACTGAAAATTATAAATCATGAATTATAAAGTTAATTATAATGTCTGTGTTCTTCTGGCAAGACAGCTTTTGAATGAGTAATATTGAATGTTTCCTTCCTTGGGTCACCCCAATTTGGTGGAAATTATCAATGTGGTATAAAATTAACACTGCTGGTAGTATCAGTGTACAATATCTGTTATCTGGAAGATTATTACACAAAGATACCTCTAACAGTATTTTCTTCCCGTAAATTATGTCCTCGTGCCTTGACTGCCAAAATTTTATCGAAGATATACAGTAGACCCCCGGTTTACGATATTTTTTCATTCCAGAAGTATGTTCAGGTGCCAGCACTGACTGAATTTGTTCCCATAAGGAACATTGTAAATTAGATTAGTCCATTTCAGACCCCCAAACATACATGTACAAATGCACTTACATAAATACACTTGCATAATTGGTGGCATTGGGAGGTGATCGTAAAGCGGGGGTCCACTGTACTGTTATGGTATCAAGGACACAGATTTTTTGAATGGGTATAAATATGATACATGTGAGCCAAGATAAATAGGTTATGTAGCATTTCATTTGAAGAAACTATAATTTGTGCATAATATTAGATAGACATAGTAGTCCACAACACAGTACTATAAGTGTACTGCCCAATATAAAGATTAAAAGAAAAAGGAAAATAAGAAAATAGCTATAGATAACACACGTCCTCAGCAGTATTACTGCATAAGCACCTAAAAACTATGCAATTTCTAGCTCTTTATATAATTATTATTATTATAATCAAGGGAGAAGCGCTAAACCCGTAGGATTATACAGCGCCCAGGGGGGGGGGGATGTGGAAGGCATTCAGGCTTAATTCGGGGAACTGGAGCACAGATCCAATTCCCTAAATCAAGAGCCCCTCACCAACATCAAGGAACCTTCCATGAGGGGTAGCTCTTTATATAAAAAAGGTTCATTGTATTTAAATGAAGTTTTATGAATATATGAATTGCTCCTTTTTTAATTATGCTAATTTTTTCATTGGTATAGGGCATCATTTTAAAACAAAATGAATATGCTAATAAAATGCTCATCTTAAATAAAAGGGCCTGAATTACTTACCAGTATCTAAATGGAAATAAAATACAGTAGAACCCCGAGTTTCGAACTGCTCCCAATTCGACCAATTATGTAAGTGTATTATTGTAAGTGTTTTTGTAAGTGTATTTTTGGGGGTCTGAAACGGACTAATCCAATTTACGTTATTCCTTATGGGAATAAATTCATTTGGTAACGGCACTCGAACAGCCTTCTGGAATGAAGAAAGTTCGAAACTCAGGGCTCCACTATACAATGCTGCACTAGGATTCCTCAAGTAATATAAATTTTACTACATAAATAATAGTACTGTACAAGCAAAATACAGTACTTTTAATATTTTACTTACTCTAACGGCCTCATGTGATTCTTTACTTGCTGGGTCTAATTCTAACACACGCTGGAAGTCTTTTAATGCCTCGTCTAAATTTTCAGTTTCTTCATTGAGATTTGCACGTCTCAGTATAGCTTTTGTATAAACACCATCCAGATCTATTGCTTTACTGCAGTCACTAATTGCCTTCTTTTTTTTATCCTGAAAAATCAAATACTGTTTATTTATTATTTTTTAGCACACTGGTCATATCCCACTGAGGCAGGGTGACCTGAAAAGTTTTTGTTTTTAAATTTAGTAATGTTTACAGAAGAAGGGGTTACTAGCCCCTTGCTCCTGGCATTTTAGTCACCTCTTATGACACCAACATTTGCAACTTCTCTCCAGAATCTCCCAAAGCACAGTGTCACTGGCAAAAAAAACAACAGTGGGAGACATAGTATGGACATTGTAGGGGCAGAGTATTGTGCAGGGGCACAGTACACTGTGGAAGTGGCATCCAGTGTGGGCATACCACTGTTGAGGTTCATTAGTCTGAGAGTGGTAGGGTACGTACAGTGTGAGGGTGGTGTGGATGAAGCATAGTGTGGGAATGGTATATGGTGTTTTAGTGATGGACAGTAAGAGGGTATAATATGGTGTGGGGCTTGAATACAGAAGGGATAGAGATTGCTTTCTATTCCTACTCTTGTATCAGATATGATGGGAGAGAGGAAAGGAATGCAAGAGAGGGAAGGAGGTATAGGAATAGCTCAGGAATGCAAATCTGATTTTAACACAGGAGTCCATTAGGAAATTAGTTCTTAGTTGCAAACACCTGATTTATGAATAGTTTTCAGGAATGCATTAATATTGTAAGTGATGCATCTACTGTGCTGTATTTATAGCTGAAAGAAAAATGTAGAAAGTAAGGCTTATAATTTAATAAAAACATTACCTGTATTCTGTACTGTAATAATTATGAAAGCTGCAATACTGCTAAAAGGATAGGTTAGAAGTGAAGCTAAAAGAAAACCAGTCAGGTCAACTCACAAGTGTTCTGAATATCAGAACCCACTGTATGTCAATAGGCCTATTACAGAGCTCTTTTTTCTAATGTTTATATTAACAGCCAGGGCTGTTTCAAGTTAAGGATGTTTTGAAGAAGGGCTATCATGTTGCATCAGTCATCATACAGATCTGCAATGTGGACCTAAGACCAAATTTTGTATTTGTAGATGCTCTTCAATTTGTTAATACAGCCCTCATACACAACTACATACTTATATTGTTATACTGAATGGAGAGTATGATATAACAATATGAGATATTTACTAACCAATTTGGCATTTGCTGCTGCCCTGTTAGAGTAAAGTATAGCACGATCTTTTGGGTATGATAAAGGGCATATCCTGAGTCCTGCAGTGTAAGAAATCACAGCTTCCTGAAACAGGCCTGCCTTGAAGCTGATGTTACCATTTTCTTTGTGATTTTGACTCTCTTCTTTCTTAGCCTGCAAGAAATTACAACCCAGTGTACATTAAAAATAATATTTAAATTAAATTACTGTACTAGTGATTTAATTTATCCTATTTAAATTGTGATGCAAAAATAATTTAATCTCTAAAGGAAGCCTAAATCATGTAATTAATATTACACAAGACAAAAAGATAACAGTCCCAAAATTATTAATCCTGCATATAACTTTTTACTAAATGCATTTATTTTTTATAAATGACTGCAAGAAAACTTTCAAGATATTGTTAGGTCATATCTGCTAAGTCCTGCAAGAAATGGCATATATAAATTATTTACGGCATCCTACTTTTGAAATAAAAGATTAAAAAGACATAAAATGTAGTTTCGATTCTGTGCAATACTTCCTAATTACTCTTGAAAATAAAAACTCTTACCTGTTTTTCCTCATCGCTCATATTAAGCTCAAGGTCTTTCAGGTATTCTTCATCTACAAAATCTTCTTCCTCATCATCATCCACATGCTCTTGTTCTTCCTGTTTCCCCCAAGAACTTTCTGACATCTTATCAATGGCAGGCAGATATTCATGACTTTCTGTTCCATCTTTCCCATCTGGTTCAATTACTAGGATGTTTGATGAATCACATTCTTCAGATGATCCATCAATCTCTTCTGATGTACTGTTGGAACATGAAATGAAAAGAAAAATAATTACTATTTCCTAACCCAAGACGAGAAATGTTAAGCATCTAATATTTGTTGATTGCTGAACATGAAAAGTGTGGTATCACCTAGAAAAATGAAGCATAGGTTAAAAGAGATCAGTGTACTTGGGCCTCAGATGATCCTCTTTGTATCAGTACTTGCGTTTCATTTTTCTTCCATGATACGTGGCACCATTTCATGATCCATGGCACCATTCCATGATCCCTGGTGCCCTTCTATGATCCCTGGCACCCTTCCATGACCCTTGGCACCCTAGCATGATCTATGACACCCTTCCATGACCCCTGGTGCTCTTCCATGATCCCTGGCACCCTTCCATGACCCCTGGTGCTCTTCCATGATCCCTGGCACCCTTCCATGACCCCGGCACCCTTCCATGACCCCTGGCACCCTTCCATGACCCTTGGAACCCTTCAGTGACCACTGGCACCCTTCCATGATCCCTGACGCCCTTCCATTAAGTGGTTTTGCCCTTTTCATCACTCAATGCTTATAAAAATTTTAATTCAAACATTACTAAATATAATAACAGAAGCCCCACATTTAAAATATCCTGTTGGAAAAGGATTACCTGGGTTCTATCTGGTGATATTGTACTCCTCTGTTACCTGGGTTCTATCTGGTGATATTGTACTCCTCTGTTACCTGGGTTCTAGCTGGTGATTTTGTACTCCTCTGTTACCTGGGTTCTATCTGGTGATATTGTACTCCTCTGTTACCTGGGTTCTATCTGGTGATATTGTACTCCTCTGTTACCTGGGTTCTAGCTGGTGATTTTGTACTCCTCTGTTACCTGGGTTCTATCTGGTGATATTGTACTCCTCTGTTACCTGGGTTCTAGCTGGTGATTTTGTACTCCTCTGTTACCTGGGTTCTAGCTGGTGATTTTGTACTCCTCTGTTACCTGGGTTATAACTGGTGATTTTGTACTCCTCTGTTACCTGGGTTCTATCTGGTGATATTGTACTCCTCTGTTACCTGGGTTCTAGCTGGTGATTTTGTACTCCTCTGTTACCTAGGTTATAACTGGTGATTTTGTACTCCTCTGTTACCTGGGTTCTATCTGGTGATATTGTACTCCTCTGTTACCTGGGTTCTATCTGGTGATATTGTACTCCTCTGTTACCTGGGTTCTAGCTGGTGATTTTGTACTCCTCTGCTACCTGGGTTCTAGCTGGTGATTTTGTACTCCTCTGTTACCTGGGTTATAACTGGTGATTTTGTACTCCTCTGTTACCTGGGTTATAACTGGTGATTTTGTACTCCTCTGTTACCTGGGTTCTAGCTGGTGATTTTGTACTCCTCTGTTACCTGGGTTATAACTGGTGATTTTGTACTCCTCTATTACCTGGGTTCTAGCTGGTGATTTTGTACTCCTCTGTTACCTGGGTTCTAGCTGGTGATTTTGTACTCCTCTGTTACCTGGGTTATAACTGGTGATTTTGTACTCCTCTGTTACCTGGGTTATAACTGGTGATTTTGTACTCCTCTGTTACCTGGGTTCTAGCTGGTGATTTTGTACTCCTCTGTTACCTGGGTTATAACTGGTGATTTTGTACTCCTCTATTACCTGGGTTCTAGCTGGTGATTTTGTACTCCTCTGTTACCTGGGTTCTAGCTGGTGATTTTGTACTCCTCTGTTACCTGGGGTTTTAGCTGGTGATTTTGTACTCCTCTGTTACCTGGGTTCTAGCTGGTGATTTTGTACTCCTCTGTTACCTGGGTTCTAGCTGGTGATTTTGTACTCCTCTGTTACCTGGGTTCTAGCTGGTGATTTTGTACTCCTCTGTTACCTGGGTTCTAGCTGGTGATTTTGTACTCCTCTGTTACCTGGGTTCTAGCTGGTGATTTTGTACTCCTCTGTTACCTGGGTTCTAGCTGGTGATTTTGTACTCCTCTGTTACCTGGGTTCTAGCTGGTGATATTGTACTCCTCTGTTACCTGGGTTCTAGCTGGTGATATTGTACTCCTCTGTTACCTGGGTTCTAGCTGGTGATTTTGTACTCCTCTGTTACCTGGGTTCTAGCTGGTGATTTTGTACTCCTCTGTTACCTGGGTTCTAGCTGGTGATTTTGTACTCCTCTGTTACCTGGGTTCTAGCTGGTGATTTTGTACTCCTCTGTTACCTGGGTTCTAGCTGGTGATTTTGTACTCCTCTGTTACCTGGGTTCTAGCTGGTGATTTTGTACTCCTCTGTTACCTGGGTTCTAGCTGGTGATTTTGTACTCCTCTGTTACTGGGTTCTAGCTGGTGATTTTGTACTCCTCTGTTACCTGGGTTCTAGCTGGTGATTTTGTACTCCTCTGTTACCTGGGTTCTAGTGGTGATATTGTACTCCTCTGTTACCTGGGTTCTAGCTGGTGATATTGTACTCCTCTGTTACTGGGTTCTAGCTGGTGATATTGTACTCCTCTGTTACCTGGGTTCTAGCTGGTGATTTTGTACTCCTCTGTTACCTGGGTTCTAGCTGGTGATATTGTATCCTCTGTTACCTGGGTTCTAGCTGGTGATATTGTACTCCTCTGTTACCTGGGTTCTAGCTGGTGATTTTTGTACTCCCTGTTACCTGGGTTCTAGCTGGTGATTTGTACTCCTCTGTTACCTGGGTTCTAGCTGGTGATTTTGTACTCCTCTGTTACCTGGGTTCTAGCTGGTGATTTTGTACTCCTCTGTTACCTGGGTTCTAGCTGGTGATATTGTAAATCCTCTGTTACCTGGGTTCTAGCTGGTGATTTTTGTACTCCTCTGTTACCTGGGTTCTAGCTGGTGATATTGTACTCCTCTGTTACCTGGGTTCTAGCTGGTGATTTTGTACTCCTCTGTTACCTGGGTTCTAGCTGGTGATTTTGTACTCCTCTGTTACCTGGGTTCTAGCTGGTGATATTGTACTCCTCTGTTACCTGGGTTCTAGCTGGTGATATTGTACTCCTCTGTTACCTGGGTTCTAGCTGGTGATTTTGTACTCCTCTGTTACCTGGGTTCTAGTGGTGATTTTGTACTCTCTGTTACCTGGGTTCTAGCTGGTGATATTGTACTCCTCTGTTACCTGGGTTCTAGCTGGTGATATTGTACTCCTCTGTTACCTGGGTTCTAGCTGGTGATTTTGTACTCCTCTGTTACCTGGGTTCTAGCTGGTGATTTTGTACTCCTCTGTTACCTGGGTTCTAGCTGGTGATATTGTACTCCTCTGTTACCTGGGTTCTAGCTGGTGATATTGTACTCCTCTGTTACCTGGGTTCTAGCTGGTGATTTTGTACTCCCCTGTTACCTGGGTTCTAGCTGGTGATTTTGTACTCCTCTGTTACCTGGGTTCTAGCTGGTGATTTTGTACTCCTCTGTTACCTGGGTTCTAGCTGGTGATATTGTACTCCTCTGTTACCTGGGTTCTAGCTGGTGATATTGTACTCCTCTGTTACCTGGGTTCTAGCTGGTGATTTTGTACTCCTCTGTTACCTGGGTTCTAGCTGGTGATTTTGTACTCCTCTGTTACCTGGGTTCTAGCTGGTGATTTTGTACTCCTCTGTTACCTGGGTTCTAGCTGGTGATTTTGTACTCCTCTGTTACCTGGGTTCTAGCTGGTGATTTTGTACTCCTCTGTTACCTGGGTTCTAGCTGGTGATTTTGTACTCCTCTGTTACCTGGGTTCTAGCTGGTGATTTTGTACTCCTCTGTTACCTGGGTTCTAGCTGGTGATTTTGTACTCCTCTGTCTTCATCTTCAAGAGAGTGAAATGAATCATCACTGGCATCACTAGCAGGTGTGTCAGGTCGAGATATTTCTTCCTTCTTGTATTTTAAGGATTCTTCCTCTGCTTTATCACAAAGATTTCTTGATCCTCTTTCTTTTTCAAGACCTTCCATTTGAACAAATAGCTGAAAAATTCAGTGTTGAATCTGAGTTAATATTGCAATTTACTACATATAAATTGCTTTCTCTCTCCAAACATTTTGTCACATTAAACTTATAAAGCTAGGTAAGACCTTTTTTTAATTAAATGTATCAGAAAAGTGAAAACAAACCTAATCAAGCTGCAACTAATTTTTTATTAATATAAACTCATAACTGTAACAACACTCAATTTAATACAGTACTGTACAATTACAGTGGACCCCCGCCTTACGATCAGCTCCCAACTCGAACAATTATGTAAGTGTATTTTTGTACACGCTTTTGTGCGTGTATTTTTGGGGGTCTGAAATGGACTAATCCAATTTACAATATTCCTTATGGGAACAAATTCGTTCAGTAATGGCACCCGATCAGACTTCTGGAATGAATTAATATCGTAAGTCGGGGGTCCACTGTATTTCCCCTCACCATCAGTTCATGCATACCACTAGATGACCACAAGATATATTATTATTAAATTCATGGAACCATAAACTGAAGACTTTAGGAGGAATATGTACAATGAATACAACACAACACTGAATAATGAACTAATAATTAACAAGACCCTAAAATGAATAACATATCAAACTGTTAATACATTACATATTCTACCATCTTAAAGCAGTGGTTAAATGGATTGTACGTAGGCAACAGTGGTCTCGAGACAAAGTATAGTATGTTTAAAATCCAGAGGCATGTGGCCCAAGGCTGTCTGAAGACCATTATAATTTGTGGACCAAGGTAAGGCATATGGCCTCTATTGTATGTGGTCTGAAGACTATGGTGGTTTATCCGAAGCCAGGTAGACCACAGAACTTGTAGTGTGTTGTCTATGGTCTATGAACAATGGCAGAAATTGCTTCTGTTGCCAGTGGTCTGTAAACCAAGGCAGAACTTGTGGCCTCCATTGTCTGTGGTCTGTGGATCAAGCAAAACTTGCTTCCTCTGTGGTCTGTATGCTATGGTGGATTGTTGACCACTGCAAACCTTATGGCCTATGGACTGTAGACCATGGCAAAGCTTATGGCATCTCTGAAAAGTAGACCATGATGGTGTGTGAACCATGGTATAATTTGTGGCCTGTTAGATATAGTCTATAGATCACTGTTGTTTATGCTTTGTGGACCATGGCAAAGCTTGTGATCTCTATGATCTGTGAATAGAGGCAAAACTTGTAGCCTTTGTGGTCTGTGAACCACAACAAACTTGTGCCTTCTATTGTCTGTGACCTGTGAATTAAGGCAAAAATCGCTGTGTTGTAAGTGCTCTTTTCATTATTAAGATATGTGCAGCTTACTTAGAGGTTCTCCTTCCAATGATTGTACAACTTGTAATGTTGTCAGCTTTGATGTCTGTAAGTGCTCATATGTAAGTACCTTTATACCTTTGATATACCTTTAATGATTTCCAAGAGTTTTTCTACTCCTAAAGCCCAGCCATGTGCCAGACTTGTCTGGTGCTAGCCTAGTCAACCAGGCTGTTGCTGCTGGTGGACCGCACACCCACCTATACATCATAGCCTGGTTGATCTGGCATGATTACAGATTATTATTACTCTGCTAGATAAACAAGATACATGTCCAACACTTAGGTAATTTATTGCTGAAACATTTTTCCTGTTCTGGAGGCTTTTTCAGTCCAATAAATAAGGTATTAATATACTGGAGACACTTGAAGTGGAAATTTTGAGGTGTTCAGTCCCTCTTCCTTGTCGGTTGTTCAATTCACTCACGTTGATCATAGTTTACCTGGAGTTTACCTGGAGAGAGTTCCGGGGGTCAACGCCCCCACGGCCCAGTCTGTGACCAGGCCTCCTGGTGGATCAGAGCCTGATCAACCAGGCTGTTACTGCTGGCTGCACGCAAACCAACGTACGAGCCACAGCCCGGCTGGTCAGGTACCAACTTTAGGTGCTTGTCCAGTGCCAGCTTGAAGACTGCCAGGGGTCTGTTGTTAATCCCCCTTATGTATGCTGGGAGGCAGTTGAACAGTCTCGGGCCCCTGACACTTATTGTATTGTCTCTTAACGTGCTAGTGACACCCTTGCTTTTCATTGGGGGGATGTTGCATCATCTGCCAAGTCTTTTGCTTTCGTAGCGAGTGATTTTCGTGTGCGAGTTCGGTACTAGTTCCTCTAGGATTTTCCAGGTGTATATAATCATGTATCTCTCCCTCCTGCATTCCAGGGAATACAGGTTTAGGAACCTCAAGCGCTCCCAATAATTGAGGTGTTTTATCTCCGTTATGCGCGCCGTGAAGGTTCTCTGTACATTAGTCACTTCAATATTCAACTGAAGAAACCTGTATAGTCAAAACGTCTGGTTAATAAAAAAATACCCAAATGTTGCATCTATGGGCAGGACAAGTCCAATTCCTTGTATCAAGAGCCCCTTGCCAGCATCAAGGTGCCTCCTTCAAAGGAGAAACACAGAAGACACCAAAAATGTTAAGTATGTAAATTTATTTAGGCACAGGTACACGCAAGTACAATTATCATATATAGTGTAAATCACCTAGAATAACCCCCCAAAAAAAGTCACACTGACTTATTTCGACTGACACAACATAAAAGTTTTAACACATATTTGGCAAAGATTTCAACCCAGTATTACAATTTTTGCAAAGATTTCAACACTACATTATAATTACCAATCATATAATAGCTACTAATACTAACTGCTTCACT